ATTGCAAAAACTACGGTATACATTGCTAGAAAAATTACAGTATGTTTCTGTGATTGTCACAACAGTATGCATTTTTAACAGCTACTAACTGTATTATTTAAGAAAGATGATTGCAAAAACTACAGTATGTACCACTAGAAATATTACGGAATGTTACTGTAAAAAGTATTACAAGACTTTATTTTACAGCAGGGCAATGTAAATTTTATGACAAAAAACAGTAAAAATTACATATTTTCATCATTATCTTATTTACGGTAATTACTTGTTAAATAAACAGTATAAAGCTGATTTCCAAATTACGGTATTACATTTTCGTTTTTTACTGTCTTTAACTGTAAAATCTACGGACTTTTTTTACAGTGTAGGTAACTGACACAACAATCACAAATATTGCTCTTTAAATTACGTTTAGATTACATGCACACAGTTATTGTATTTAATCATATTTTCAAATGTGTTGGCTGTTATTGGAGCACGCATTGAACAAACAGTGGAGAAAATGGTAAAACTAACAATTAAGACAGATGGTTTTGTATTTAAAATCATTCATTGGAATTTTTCATGACAACGATTAATTTAAATTCTTTTTTAAAGAAATTTATCGCAATAAATGATAAACTATGTAAACGCTCACCACTACCCCAAAAATAAATCGCAGTGCAACTAATTTCCTAGAGAAGCTACCTAATCAAAAATATTTGAAAAGTGTTCACGCCTCACAAAAATAACAGCAGGAATTTGTATTTCAGCCCCCTTTGAAGCCCGTAAATAAAACCCAGTGCAATCACGTGCCTTTAAAAGTCACTGAACATGAAAAAAACGTTTGTAAAACTACTGAAAACCACGAATGTGCCACTTTATCAAAATTGTGGAAAAGTGGCATGGAAAACCTGAAGTGGACATATTATTTTCAGAAACTCCAAACCAGCAAATAAACCACTTTTTGATGTTTTGTTGCAATTTATTCCGAAACAACTTAGAGTTAGAGTGTCAGGAGTGTTTGAGGTCACATCACTTTTTGCTTTTCAGGAACAATAATCCCACTGTGAATGCAGGTAAACCAGGTCAGCTCACCAGCTGGGTCAGTTAGGGTCGGCTTTGTATGGAAAACACGCATTGTTTGCAGGTGTATGCACATGTTTCTCACTGTCAAGCCAAGAAAAAAACGTTGCCTTATCTATAGTAATGATTCCATTGAAATCTTGCCAACATTTTCTGTGGTGGAAACAAACAAATCAACCAGATAGCGGCCCACGCTTTTCACAGGTGACAATTTGGACTATTGTAACATTTTTTTTCCTAATATTGTTTATAAAAAAAAAAGGCCATAATTAGTCCCAAGGTCATAAAGGTGGTAAAAAAAAAAGTTAAACGTTTTGAGAGGCAAGAATCTAACACTTCTTATGAACCTGAGCACGTCGTCCCCCATGGTGAAACTCGGCAGTGGCTGCATTGTGCTGGTGAGGTTGGTTTTCTTCAACTTGAATAGGAACATGGATGGAGCTACTTATCTGAGAATTCAATCAGAAAACCCGCCACAGAGACGCAAAAGAGTTGAGACCGAGGTGGAAATCCGCCTAAACGTGCAGCTGGAGCTACACAGGAACTGTTTGGATCGAAGCGTGTTCACTCGTTAAAATGGCCTAGTCAAAGTACAGACATAAATCCAATGGAGAATCTGAAGAATGCTTAGAAAATTTAAGTTAACAGATGCTTTCTATCCGATTTGTCAGAGTTTTAGCTAGTTAGCAAAGAAGAATAGACTGTGAATTTCAGTTTCTACATTTGTAAAATTGGCAGAGACTTGTAGCTGTCTCCAACACATCAAATGTTTTGTGAGAAATTGTAAAAAAAAAAACAACAACAACAACAACACACACACACTTGTTCCTCCAGTTTGTGTTGGTTTGTCATAAAAAAATGCTGATGGTTAATTTTGTCTAACTAAAACCAAACAAAGGTGACACAAACAGTAAAATTACTTTATTACGTGACCAAACGTGAAAAGAAATTCAAGGTGTGCGGACGACAAAGCTCTCATGTTGTACAGCAATTCCCAGAAAACGCAAAGAAGACAAAAGTGAAATATTGTGTCTTGCAGGTGCGTTCGGCGCAGAGTCCGAAGTGTGACCTGATTCTGGAAATAGACAAGGAGAGAGCCATGTGCCAAGCTCAGGTTGAGAACAACACGACAGGTATGTGGGCGTCGTTTCGTGTGCTTGGTTTCACTTCATTTTGGTGGCTGCCATTATTTCGTACCATAATCCTTTGCGCATCACAGAGCTGGGTTGTTGACAACGATCGCTAAAGATAAAAGAAGCTGTTCAGACGCTTCCTGGCTTTACCTTCTCATGGCTGAACACAAGTACACATGTTTCCAGCTCATTATTGTGTTCAATCGTTGCTATTTTTGACTCTCAGAAGTCTTGCACAAGTATTCATATCTCGTTAGCTTGTCACTTAGAAACTATGAACTTCAATGTATTTTATGTGACAGGCCAACACAAAGCAGCACACCAAAGCTTTCCAAAATTTTCACTGGAAAAACACAAAATCTTACCAAGTATTTTTTTTGTTTCTGTAGGAAATAAGACAAAAGTGACTTACAAGTAACTTTTAATTAAGAAATAGGAGAGTGTTTTAAGTCACTATTTCCTTAATATTGATGAAAAAGTACTCCTTCCATAGGAAAATTATTTCACTTTTAACATGGGTAAAATAAGTGAAATAATCTGCTCATGGAACTAGTACTTTTTCCTCAATATTAAGGAGTTGATGACTTAAACCACGCTCCTGTTACTTGCTGAAAAGTTACTTGTAAGTCAGTTTTGTCTTATTTCAAGTGTACTAAGATATAGACCAAAAATAGTCTGTAAGATTTAAGACATAAAAATTATTATTAAAATTATTTAGTGGGATTGCATTCAGGCCATTTACCTTGGTACCCCTAAATAAAATCCAGGGTTTCATCCAGTGTATTATAAGCCTGGCGGCCCGTAATGCTTTTCTAGCCCCACCGCCAGGCTAAGCGTTGCTTGTTTACGTTACGTTTTTTTTTTTTTTTTTTTAAGCCAGGCTGCAAGCGTCTCTTTTGCTCTTAGCATTTCACTAGCAGAACAGATTTATCCTTAAGGATAGGTTTATAATAGATGGGTTTATAGTTTATGCATTTAGACCTGACAGCGCGTGGACCAATCACACCACTGCCGCCTCCTTTCACTCAAACTGGACACAGGCTGACCTGTAGGGATATTTACATAAACTTACTGTGAGGAATTATGATGCTTTGGAGAACTCTAGGTAAGAGTTTAAAAGCCGCCTCGTTAGCTCTGGTTGCGCAGCTCTGTGAGATAAGGTGCGCCGCCGCAGGGAGATCTGAGAAACTCGCCTCATAAACTCGACCAACCAGAATAGTCTCTGTGACGCTTATTAAAAACTCAACAGACACGAAATGAAAGAGCTACT